TTTAAAATAAAGAGACTAACTTATAAATATATGATCATTTTTAATATTATTATCTATTAAAAAAATCAATCAATCAAATTGCTTTAGCTCACCTCTTCATCCTTTTTCTCCATATTATTATTATGATTGAAATCATTTACTTCAGATTCCTTAATAGAAGCAGTTTCGTCATTCTTTTCACCGCCGCTACCTTCATCTTTAACATTATTAACATAATTATCATCATTTAACTCATCCTCTTCTTCCCGTGATTCTATAGGAACCAGTATTTTAATATCTGGCGATGATCTCATCTGATCCGAAACTTTTGAATCTATATCAAAATTCTCTAATCCTAAATTTCGTTTCCACTAAAAAAATATGATAATTGATGATTAGACAACTAATTAATTTATTAAATATGTCAATATTGATAAATAATAATAGTGATAATAATGATAATAGCGATAATAATAATTTTACTTTTCTTAATAGCAATTTTCTTTTTAGCCTGTTTGCTTTTGGGTTAAGAGGACGAATAGAAGCGGCATGTTCTAATCTTGATAAAAGGGCTTCTTCTTCTTTTTCATCAAGAGGATATATTTTTCTTTTTCTTGGCGGTTTTGATGGTGTTTCTGGTGAAAACTATAAAACATAATTTATTATTATTAACATATTATTATAATTTTTTTTGTAGTAAATCATCGGCGCAATTATCATTGTAGTCTTCTTACTGTTATTGGCCTCTCATTATTCATAGCACTACGAGTTGTAATTCTTAATCGAATAGGCGTTGTTGTTATTGAAGATTTTGGAGTTGAATCAATATCTACATTATTATTATTATCAATAATAGGTGTAGCATTTGTAAATGAATTAGCACTTTCAGCTAACATTATATTATTTGCATCATTATTCAACTGATCTTCCTAATGTATAAAATTATATAGATCATTCAAAATATTTTAAATATTTACTAATTAACTGCCAATAGTATTATATACAAGTAAAATAAACTCAACTTTTGAAGCTACTTACTGCATTCACTTCTTCTTTTTCTTCATTATTATTATTAATGCTATCTGATCTGTTATTATCCCTTTCAGCAAAAATCTCGGGAAAACGTTTTTCTGGATCAAACCATTCTTCAAAGTTGCATTGTGATGGAACAGGAAGTTTGTTAAATAAAGCCAGTATCCGCTTATCTTGTGAGCTTGGTCTGCCTCTTCTTTTCTTTATAAACATTATTTGTAAAAACGCGTTTATATTTTTAAGGAAAATTTTTTTCAAACATTAGATCATACCCACTACTTTTATGGAAAGATCATCTTAAAAAATTTTAAGTCGAGCTTTAGCCATTTAAGGATGTAATAGTAACCTCTGGTCCTGTCAGGTGTAACAACAGAACAAATTTTCTTACAATAAAGATAAATGGATACAACATTATTAACAGAACATTTCAACGACTTTCAAGGATTATTGGATTCAGAAGATAAATATCAATGTTGTGAAGAACCAAATTTAAATGAAATTCATCTATTTTACGAGCTTGTTGCTTGTATTTTAAAAATGCATTAAACAATGCAACAAAGTAAAACTGGTATTACATTCTTACAATGGCAAATGTCAATGAATTGGTTTTTAAAAGCCAAGTGATTAATTTAATTATATTTTGAAATTATTATTATCAAGTGAATGCATAATAACATTTATTTATTAGATTTTGTATACTTGTAAAATCGAATTTAATAATTATGTCAGGGTTAATGCATTGGAATTGTTGATGAGCTTGATCTTTGATCACTTTACAAATACACAACGAAATACTTATTGAAAATCACCAAGATTATATAAAAGAAAATCCGGCTATGATTCTAATTTAATTAATTTATGTGAATGAAAATTAAAGTTATTCATTAGAAGAAATTTATGATGACAGTAAAAAGCTATTTTAATCAAGTGAATCTGAATCATTGAAGAAATCAATTTTGTTGGAAATTCTTAAAAGAGACAAACTTGTCGTTGATGAGATAGAAGTTGGGAAAATATTCTTAATGGGGATTGGCAAAACATCCAGAAATCAATAATAATAATAATGATATTGGTCATCACAAAACTTTGTTGATCTAGGAAACACATTAAAAGAATTTGTTACATTAATTAGATTTCAGGGCATTGCTAACAAGGATATTTTTTACAAAATCATGCCATATCTAATGCTATTTCTTAGAGCAATGTGGAAATTATTATATAGTTTCTGATGAAGCACCAACTTTAAATTTACTACAATCTAGAAATCGAAAATTTGAATCATTAATTCCAAAATTTGAAATAACCAAAAACTTATCTTGCTTCTTGCAAGTTGGATTGATAGAAAACTCTGCTATATACTTTATTCGATATAAATTTAAGCTTTTATATCATATTGTGACAGAGATGGTTTGGATGCAAAAACATTTTATTGGAAACATGATAATGTCAATAAAACCCTTGTAGATGGAAGATTACAAAATTCAGATCAAATTTTTGGTTGCTATAATCCACTTGATTGGAATGGAAGTCAATATAAAAATGCAACAGTAGGTTTTGTTTTTAATATTATTAATAGAAGTGATACCAATACTAAACTTTAATAATAATGATTATGAATGTGCAATTCATTGTTATACTTCTCACTTATCTATCCTTAGTTCTGGAAATGATGTTTATTTCTGTTTACGAAATAGCTGTATTAATAGTATTCCAAGTGCCTATAATGGTATAATACATATGATAAATTAAAAAATAAGAAATTAATATTAAATCTTAATTCAGTTATTCTTTTTTTTATACATATTAGCACAAAGTACCACAAGTCAGTATTGCATAAAAAATTTTTAACAATTATTGTTATTAATAAACAAATAAAATAATCAGCTTACTCAAAAAATTTCATGATTTAAAGTATATCAGTAAACTTGTAAATTGTTGACTTTTTATGATGTAACAGAATAATTGGTTTCCTTTACAAAAAAAAAATATATTTTTATTTCCAGATAATTTGCGCACATATCAATAACAAGAAATCATCATATGAGGGATCTGATCCTCAAATTATTGTTATAGCTATCACGAATTATGACCAGTATTAGTTTAGTTCCAAAATGAGTCAAGTGACCCGAATTTCATGGAAATGGAATAATACAATCCAGATGGAAATTGGAACTAAGATCTGATTCAAAACCTGATGAATCACTGGAATTGCGATGTCACTGTATTTATTGTATTTACCTTCACTTATAATCAGAATAGATTGTAAGTTTGGAGTCATGTACATAGATTATTGCTTCATGAGATCACCCAAAGCTTGTCAGCTAGGCTCTTGCAAATGGTCAATCAATGTTTTGACAGGGTTTTTTCTTTGACTTTGTAGTTCACAATTAGCATCTTGGTGGTCCCTCATCCATATATGGGAGTTTTCAATAGAAAAGAAATATACCATGAAAAGGCAATTTTGAGTTAATAACACTGCTATATGGGGCAAGACCAGACAAAGTGAACATTACATCACAAAGATTTCAGAGATGATTCAACTATAGACATTCATCATTTATTCAAAACTTAATATGGCCTTTTATCCCATGTTTACATGTAGCAAAGCTTGATTGCTGAAGACATCAATGTTTCATCAAAAAGAATCATCTAAATATTTGGTATTTATAAATGATTAGTTTCATGAATTTGCAGCCACAAGAATCAATATATTCTGATTTCCCACCTTCTATTCTATATACTACTTTGCATACATATTTTCAGTGAGTGGAGTGTAATGATATCAAATATTTTATCTTGTTAATAGACGAAATAGAAGAAAGGATATTGCTAAATAGATTAATATTACATGTAAATAAAATATTAACGATATTTAAGGTATATTATTAGATAAAGAATTTATTATTATTATAATTGGAAAACCATAATAATATGCCAACAGCACAAATTGTGATTTTAAAATCAATATTAATATATATAAATTTGGATACAATGCATATTAAAATTCGGTCTTTCTTTGGATTTGATACTAAGTTTGTCAAGATTCAGTAAGCTACAAAAACATATGTCTTTCAAACTTATGTAATTTTGAAAAATCTATTAAAACATTTATATAGCATTTTCATTTTTACATAATTCAGAATTCAAATAAGTACTAATACACATACATACTGAGATATAATAATGTAAAGAGATATTTAATAATTTAATATTGCTATTAAAATTTTTTAAAGGCATCAAAATACTTATATGGTGTTTTCATTTTACATAATCTAGAGTTCAATAAGTGCTAACCCAAGTTATTTCATGCTGAAATAAAGAAAAATCAGATTAAAATATTAAAAAATTATTCTTCCATTAATGATTGAATTACTTATATAAAGAGATAGCTTTAATGATTCTGTCTGTAAATCAGATTTACGGAGGAACCACCAACTTTCATTTTGAAAAAAAAAATTTAATTTTTTATTTGTGTTTCGGAAATTGTTTTGGCACTGGCTAAATTGCCAATACTGGTAATTTTATTGCAAGTGTTTTCACGTTGAATTATTTATTACCAATTACAACAAAATAACAAGAATCCATCTATTTTATTTCTTTTGAAAGTAATATTAAAAGATTTTTTAGTAATGATCGGCATAAAATTATCCAAAATTTCTTTAGAGATCAGACAAAGCCTGGTATGCTAATATTTGACATAAAGCAGGAGAAAAAACCTCTTTATTAAATCACCTATTGCCTTACTTTTCATATATTACATCTATTTTTGTTTATTTAATTATATAGCTAATAAAATATTTAAAAACAATAAAAAATACATATTTAAAAATATATATCAATACATACAAGAAAATACACACAATAACTTACTAACAATCCATAGCAAGTCACCATCAGAGACTTTACATCAGAAATCACAAACAACAATCACTATTCCCCCACTTGCATTTGTTGATGATGTATCATGGATTGCCAATTCCAAAAGTGGCATGAAAAATATATTGGAAATTACTCAACGGTATAATATACTAAACAACATTCAAGTCAATTTAAAAAAATCAGATTTATTAATTCTAAATTCAACACATGACGATCTTACCCTTAACAATGATCAAACAATTTCTGCTACAAAAAATAAACCAATCAGGTACCTAGGAGTTTACTATGACAATAAAGGCAGCAGTAAACCCACTTTCGAAAAAATAGTAGAAAAAATCAAAATATTTACCAACATCATAAAATATAAAAAATTAACGTACAAACAGTTATTTAAAGTATATAATACAACACTCAAATCATCAATTGAATACCTAATACAAATTATTACACTCAACAACAAAGAGATATCAACAATAAATAACCTTATAAGGAAAATTTTCAAATCAAAACTCAACTTCCCAAAAAACATACACAATGACACTATACAAAATTTTATGTTTGAAAATGTACAACCAATTGAAGATATATTCCTCATAACCAATACAAGAATCTTGTATGACACTATACACTCTAACTTCTCTTTGCTCAAATCTTTAATAGACATACGTATAAAAGATTGGAAAAGAACTGGTTGGTTTCATAACATTGACATTGAAACATTCAGAAAATTCTCCAAAGACACCAAAAATAACATGGTTGCATCCATCATAACAGAATTAGCTAAAAATAACCTAATCATTAAGAACTCAAATAACTCATATCTAGGAACTGAATACCCCAATTTTACTGACATACACAAAACAGTTGACTATAAGATCTTCACAAAAAACAAAAAGGCATTTAAACAACACAATATAATCTTCCTAGAACAGATTACCACACATGATAATAAAAACATATTACCATGGAATAAAATCTACATCAGAAAATTTGGAACTAATAAAGCACGAAAGGAACCTAAATGGTTTCAAAACACAACAACAAAATTCATCAATCAAATAAAAAATAAACAAATAATTTTACCATACAATAATTCACTAATACAATACAACACTACCTTATTCACAATTAAAAATTTAGACAGAAGGAAAAATAACTGGGCTATTATTGCAAATGATGATAACTCAATTATGCTGATTAAATTAATTAACATCCAAAAAAACAATTATGAATTCAAGAAATTAAACATAATCAACATAACCAATAATGAAATCATAACAGAAGTAACAGAACTCACTAACAAGATTGAGAATTGCAAAATATATAAAACTGGTAAAATCAAAATCAACAAAAAAGACAACCAAATCATTTGGAAAATACCATATTTAGAGCTGGTCCACAGTATTCCAAATCAAACCAAATGGTTTGATATCTTTAAACCAATTCCATCAGAACTTAACAATACTATACAAATTGAACCATATGACATGGTACAAATTAAAACTACAATAAAAAATAATGATACACTATCAACAACATTAAACATTCAAAAAATGATTCAAAGAAATGTCACACATAAACCTATTGAATGCTTCTACATATCAAAACACCATAATCATAATAAAAATTCATCTAATATTTCATTTACATGGCTTATACCAACAATCATGCCAATGCCCTTTCATGGCAAAGCTTACAATTACTGTTCACCAAATAGAGCAGAAGCAGAATGCATCAAACACATACTAGTAACAATCCCGTCCAACCAACACATCATAATATATACAAAAAATGAAAATACAAAAAAAATAATCAAAAATCAAAAAATAAATCTTAAAACTCAAAACTACCACATATGGTCATCAATAATTAAAATAATAATAAGCAAAGAATTGAAAATTGAAATAAAAAAATTCAATACTAAGTTAGGTGAACAAAAGAAAATTTACAACATATTAAAAAATACAATGGAAAACAAAAACACAAAGCTAATTGAAAATAATACCAATGAAACACAAAACCTACCTGCAATTCTATGGCATGATCATATAATATCAATATATCCAAGAACTTTTATCAAACAATTACTACTAATTAAACACACAATTAACTGGATAAAACAAAAAGGCATAATTGGCACTTTTAAAGAACCATTAACATGGAAATACTTCAAGCCAAAAGAATATAAAATTAACAACTGCCAAGAAAACCAAAGAATAGAACTTTTCACAATTAAAGCTATCACAAAAAACTTACCCACAATGAACATACTAAACAAACGACGCTCAGATATATACCTGACAAATATATGCACCAGATGCAAAATCAAAAAAGAAACAATCAAACACATACTCTTTT